TCCACATGACTCCAGTCCATCAATTAACATCTTGTGAAGTGAAAAGCTGTGTGTTTGTAAGAAACAAATCTATCATAACATTTTTCAAAAACATTACTGGACATTGTTGCTATTTGAAATCAATCTAAACAAACACACCCCTCTCTTCATTGCTCCGCCTCCAAAACACCCTACAATCCTAACCGCCCTGCTCCAAGTCAGTTTTGAACCCTGATCGCCGGTATGTGAGATGAATGTACTAACAATGACGCTAAACACCACATTCTCTAGCAGTCGTCAGCGCACCTCTTGAGTTCAGGGGTTTACCTGTACAAATCTCACTAGCTGGCCTCCATTACACACGGAATGCAAGAGTGGATGTCTAAAAAGTGGATACCTTTATCATAGCAGACGCTCAACAAAATAATGCTTCACAAAAAATAAAGCGCATATGATGAACAAATGACAAGGAAGCAAAAAAAATGAGCATACAGTACACATTAGTAAATACAGACAAGAGTTTGTTGTTAGTCGCCAACAGCACAGCTCCAGACAATCAATGACATTAAAACTAGTTTTACTCACGTATGGAGCGGAATTTCCAGTGATATTCTTAAAATCTCCCTCTTGCTTGTTTTCTCTCCTCCACCGTCATATGCCCCCTAATGCTGATTGATGTTTGTTGTTGTGTCAGTCCAAGTAACTTCCAAACAGCGTTTTTGAAAAATCGCTTATTGCACCTTTAAGGTGTTTTAACTGTTACCTCTGGCCAAAATATGAGTTCATAATCCATAGTAACGATTCCTCCAGTGAAAAAGCCCATCTCATGTTGTCCTCTCATATCAAAATCCACCAAAATATTTGTTTAGAAATGTTTTTGGTTTTGGCTTGTATACTGTGCCTTATCTGTGCATATTTATCTCCTGATTCAGACGAGAGGACTTTTTCCACGGGAGAAAATAATATTATGGATAGAGGACTCAATTGTAGTTAAAAAAAAACATCTTGACCATGTATTTAAACACATAACTTTTCACTTCACAAGACATTAATTGATTGATTGGAGTCATGTGGATTACTTGTGGATTATTGTGATTTAATCAGCTGTTTGGACTCTCATTCTGACAGCACCCATTCACTGCAGAGGATCCATTGATGAACAAGTGATGAAACGCTACATTTCTCCAAATCTGTTCCCATGAAGAAACAAACTGATCTACACCTTGGATGAACTGATGAGTAAATGATATTCAGCAAATTTCCATTTTTGGGTAAACTATTTATTTAAAGCTGCAGTCCGTAACTTTTTTTGGTTAAAAATGATCCGAAATCAATATTTGAGCAAGTACATAACCAGCCAGTGTTCAAAACTATTGCCTTACTTTAGCCCGATTCACAATGGTTAGCTTATAATAATGTTTTCTAATTTGAGTGGTATGGGTAGGTTTTCGCGGGAAATTCAAGCATGGCACTGCGTCATTATGCCACGTCTGTAAACATAAAGAAATTGCCCCGGCTACTAGGCTATCGCATGTGAGGATCCTGCAGGTGGCCGATCGTTTATAGCCTTTTCTCACAGCAGCCAGAATAATTAAATGTATCATTTTGATGGTGGATTGTAATCCAGAAAGGATTATGTGTTTATGAAACACATGTGAATGAAATTAAATTATATTCCAGTTATAAATGTGCTTCTGATAACAGATAGCCTGGGATTACAAAGATTTGTATTTTAAAGGAAACCAGTTCGAAGGGAGCGTCATTTGCTTTTTGGGTTAAAAGAATTTCTTAATATGAAATTCGAAGAGTATGACAATTAGATTAGACTGTGCAGAAATGGAAATCTACACGCTAATACACACTATACTCATAGTCACCAATGCTTATGTTGTTAACATTAATCATTTGAAAATAAAGTATAACAATAATAATAATTTGAACAGTTTGATGTGATATGAGCTAACCGATCTTTAGATTTAATCACCATTGGTAGCGAGATTAATGGTAATGCTTTTTTCCTCAGTTGGTCAGAATAAATGTGGCAGACTTGTTACTTACTTGTTCAGATGACAATATACTGTGAAAATTCTTATTTGGGTCATATATTCCAAGACGTAGGCTAGAATCTGTGATTGCGAAGTACAGTAAATATCCACACCGGTGCGGTGACTGACTGCCACACATACTCTTCAGAACATTAAATTCATCCGCGCTGTATCCGCACCGACTCACAACCCACGCAAGCTAGATAATTCCACACACAGCTGCAATTCCAGGTTTTCAATCAGAGATGGCGAAAAAGAGGCATTTAACACATGTAGATCCAGATACTTGATTTGATATGACTTTAATACATTTTTAAATGTCCAAATATTTTTGGGGTCACAACATGTTTTGCTGCTCACTGGCTGAAAGTGTTTGTTCTGTAATGACAATAATGCTTTGATATCAAACAGGAGAGCAGTCAGTGACCTGAAAGACTAAGTTACTGTTCAAGGACAAATACATTTTTAGGAACAGAACAGAACAGAACATTGCTTTAGCCAAAACCAAAAATAATTGTAGTGCATGCTTCCATAAATATCACAGTTAATACAATCACAAACTCCCCTTTGAAAAATTGGCAAATCTTGGCAGAATCTCCTAGACAAACTACATCAGAAAATTTCATTCATTCTTCTTCCATGAGAACTATTAGGTCTGAGTGGTGTTGTGTTTGGAGTCTCATAGATTCTGACAAATACTCCATCTCCGTCTGATGCCCTTGAGTCAGATGTTGCAGTGGTTGTTCAAGCCTGACAACCTTTTCACCTGAAAGACCCCTTTGGACTGTGAGCTCTTGTTTTACAGTGTTTAAACCAACCTTCTCTGCTCTTTCTCTCCTTATCTACAGAATGACTACAGGAAGCTGTCTATGCAGTGTAAAGACTTTGTGGTTGGCGTTTTGGATCTGTGCAGGGACACGGAGGAGGTGGTGGCCATCTTGAATGGAGATATATCCGCTGAACTCGAGGAAGGCCAGCATCATCGCTGCCTGCTCAGTCGAGTCAAACTGGCCATTAAATACGAGGTTAAGAAGGCAAGTGTCCATCTAATGATGCCAATGCAGAGATTACATTGCACCTTCAAGGATGTTTAGATGTTTTTTACAGGAAAACAAAAAAATTATGATTAATAATTTATATTGTATTTACACTACAAGTCAAAAGTTTGGAATAAATAAAGGTGCTGTATGTAGGATTGACAGTCCAAATTCCAAATATTGGAGAGAGTTTTTTTCACCTGGCCCCTCCTCCTCAGACTTGAAGCACACACAGGTTGCCAGATTGACGACACCAACAGGAACTAGCGCACCTTCCTTGACAGCTTCCATGACTGAAATTAAATACGCTGTGTTTTCCGCGAACTGGCAACCCGGGGTGCTGACATACAATTGGGTAAACTGGCAGTGGGTGGGTTACACAGACCAAAAAAGAGACAGACAGACATTCCGACAAGGAACGCACATTTTCAAAGTAGAATAACTGACTGACATCTCATTTTTCAGATAAACAAGTATGTTAACTTAGCATGTTTCTTACATATCTGCAAACACATTATGGTATTTTTACGCTTTAGTAGAGTCAAAAACTTACATACTGCACCTTTAAGATATTTTTTTGTTTTTGAAAAAAGTACTCACCAAGGCATTTATTTAATCAAAAATACAGTAACTACAGTAAATATTATTAGAATTTTTAATTGGAAAAAATAAATTAATACTTTATTCAGCCAATAAATTGATCAAACGTGATAGTAAAGCCATCCATAATGTTACAAAGCAATTTAAAAAAATGGTAAATGTATACTATTTCAAATAAATGCTATTCTTTTGAACTTTCTATTCATCAAGCAATCTTGAATAATGTATCATGATTTACTCAAAAATATGAAGCAGCAAAAACTGTTTGACATAACTATAAGAACTATTACTAATAATTAAGTACCAATAATAATGAATAATTCATGAGCGGCAAATCAGCATATTAGAATGATTTCTGAAGGATCATGTGACACTGAAGACTGGAGTAATGATGCTGAAAATTCAGCATTAGCATCACAGGAATAAATTAAAAATATATTAAAATAGAAAATTATTCTAATGGAAATTATATATATTATTTAAAATTGTAATGAAATTTCACATTATATAAGTCCAAAATTCCAAACTTTTGACCAGTAGTGTATTTTTAGTTATTTTTGTATTTATTCTGCTGCAGTAAGTTCATCAGTGCATAAAAAAAGTATGTTTTAGATTATTTTACAGGAAAATAAGAAAACAATACTGATTATCAATATGATTTCTGACAGAAATGGGCGTGAATAATTAATGGTGTATTTATTTTGCTGCAGGATGTGCAAAAATGCTCAAAGCAAATATAATGATGCATAAATCGAAGAATCTCATGCTTTCAAGAACACAGCTTACTTCTCATACTGACAACAGTGTGCATAGCTGGAGATTGTTGACCTCAATATGTAGCTATAAAATGACCTTGTAATCAGCCTATCTGCTAAAACATTATTTAGGATTGACGAGGATTGGCATTTGTTAAAGCTGCTTTGATTTACATTGTCTGAGATATTTGGGTGAAGGATGTCTTGGATTTTAACTGAGAAAATGACAAAAAGCAGAGAGAAGTAGATAAAGAGGGCTGCAATTAATAACGTGTATTTTATTGTGAAAGTGTGAATAATCCTCTATGCTGACTTAGTTTTGTTTAATCACCGGACACACACGTCGTCCGCTTCTCTCAAACCCACAAACACACTGTCAGGGACGCAATCCGATGAAGCGTTAATCAGGCTAACAGCTCCAGCGTTGCGCAGCCTTAATGCAGCCACCCTGACATAAAGTGTAATTTAAAGATAAGATTTCAAGAGCCCTAAATGCTCCCAGGAGTACGTGGAGTGTGAGGCTCTGGGTTGCCTTAGGAAATTAGTTTAGAGTCAACCGTCCACATTACGATGATTAATTTGAAAGTCGCTGTGTGTTTTTTCATGCCTGAGAAGTATACTAATAGCACACTTGAATAAACTTATTTTTCGTAAGGGAAGTGCAGCCTGTTAGATTAAAAGTCATGCAGTGGGCGATTGTTTACTTTTCAGCGATGGCTGGTTGTATTGTCACTTCAAACAAGAAATATTTGTTTGGTTCAAGTGTATTGCAATCATTACATTCTTCAAAGGTTTTGAAGAATAGAAAACAAGTGGTTAACTATTCAAGTGGACTGCATGTTGACCATAATCAGTATTGAGTCGCAAGAATGATGCTGAATTCAAACAAATATACTGCTACATTACTCTTAATGTTTATGGGTCATTCCACGAAATCGGTGCCTTTTCCACTTGGAAAAAAATAAAAAATAAAATAAGTTTAATCAACATTTTTTTAGATATCCATGAAATGAAGACACCTTAAAATGACAAGAAATTGTATTGTGCCATCTCAGGCTATGTAATTTATTATTTTATGACTATTTTTCTACCTCATGTTTTGGTATTTTTGTCAACCCTGTTACCAACACAAGCGTTACTATAGTTTAATTAGAAGTATGTGACAGTTTTCACATATATGAGCAGCATTTTAGTCCCTCTTTTCACTGGGATTGTTTCAAATTTTGGATTTTTTACAAATATTTTTATATTTGCCATTCAGATGACCAAGAACATCCTAATTTTGGAGGGTGACCACATGCCAATTAAGAAAAACATGTATTTTTTTACAAGAGAGACAAAAAAAGGGCTTTGTCCAAAATAAAATATAGTTAAAGTTACAATGGAAAAACCTGGAAGGCTGTATGAAATAATTTTTTTTACAATTTTTATTCAATTAATGACAGTAACAGTATTGACGTCATAGTCACAGGACTGACCAGAGTAACAGGGATGACAGGACACACATTGTTCAGCACACTGCACGTATTTGTTTACATAATACTGTACCGTTTTACAATTTTAAATTGCATTATATTGTTTTGCACTTACTTAGCATAGTTGTATGACAATAGTAAACAGTCAATTTTTCAGTTTAAGTCAGTTTAAAAAATTGTTGAATTAGCACATTACATAATGTTTTAAGAGTATTGTAATGAGATAATGCTCCCATCTGTTTGTCTGTGTCCCCTCACAGAACTTCAAATATACTGATCTGGTTCAATTATTAGGCGGGGAAGATGATCAGATCTTGATCTTTCTGTGATCATCTGAAACCTGAAAACTGAATTTCTTGAACATTGCAAGACTGGGGTGAAGGTCTGCAGTCACCTTGCTGCTCTTGTTTGTAATTGAATTTACATAGATGCATTATTGACAATGAGTTATGGGGAAAAAAAAGAGTTTTATTGAGACTGATCATCCTATCCTGGTCAGTAACAACAACAGTAATAGTATCAATACCAATAAAACTAACTAAAATGTAACTCATGCTCATATGCCACTGAATGGTATAGGCATTAGCTTAAAATTACACCCAGGGTGACCTTTAAACATTTTTGGATTTTTATACAGACAAACCTTAAAAATAGGGTGATACCTAATCTATGTCATCCCTGTTGCCCAAATGTCAAAACCTGTTACCCTGAAAATAACAGGTTTGACAGTAACAGGTTTGACAATTTCAAACTAATTTGCTAGCTAGTATTGAAGTTCACAAAAGCACATGTTGTACACTATTAAAGGATTTTACTTGTAGATTTTGATTATATTAAATGTAATAAATAATTGTTTAAATTTACATTTTAAAAATGGTAACAGTATTGACACTACATGTTCCCCGGACAGCGAACCCTGGTCGAGTATCCTCCAGCACCCCCGGCAGTCAGACTGGGCGGAGCAGTCTGACGCCAGGCCCAGTATTGGTGTTAGCTTGCCCGGATCTCCGGTCAGCACCTGTACTGGATGACTTGATTCCCTGCATGCAGTCCCATATGTGTATTCTTCCACGTTAAAGTTCCCTTCTCGGTGAGCCCGTGTCTTCCCTTTGACAGATCATCTTCCACGGTAAGGTTTCCCTCTCTGTGAACCCGTGTCTTCCTTTTGACAGACCATTCTGTCAGGCTCTGCTGGCAGTGGTTCCTCCCTACTCTCAGGTAGGACCTGCCTCAGAGTCCCATTCCATATGTAGTACTTCCCCAGGCCTGGGTCAGTCCATATCAGTGTCTCCACATGATACCTCCCTGCGGGTAGGATGTGGCCTCTGTAGCGCCCTTCTCCGGAAGGCTCGCTTCCCCACTGTTACTGCCGAGCTGTAACAACAAATAGGAAAGACTTCAAGAAAATCTTTCATTGAAGGTCGAGGGTAGAGTGTGGCCTCCATAGCACCCTTCGGAAAGCCGGAAAGACTTGAAGCAAATCTTTCATTGAAGGTCGAAATCCCTTCTGTTAAGAAATTTCTGTGGTGAAAGGAACAGCGGCTTGGCTATCACCAGCAGCGTTATACTCCCCTCTGGTCCCTGCGGGTACCAAGGGTAGCGAATTTGCGCTGTGGCGCTGGGAAGGTTACGACCTTTGCGTGGCATTTGTCTGATACGCGGCTGCTTGTCAACATTTGCGATGCCATAAGGTTGTGACGGGGTTCACTCCATAGCGCCCTTCTCTGGAAGGCTCGCTTCCCCATTGTTACTGCCAAGCTGTAACAACAAATAGGAAAGACTTGAAGCAGTCTTTCATTGAAAGAATGAATGCGCCCTTCTGTTAAGAAATTTCTGTGGTGAAAGGAACAGCGGCTTGGCTATCACCAGCAGCGATATACTCACCTATGGTCCCTGCGGGTACCAAGGTCAGCGGATTTGTGCTGGGGCGGTGGGAAGGTTACGACCTTTGCGTAGCATTTGTCTGACATGCGGCTGCTTGTCAACATTTTAAATGCCATAGGGTTGTGACGGGGTTCAGGTTGTGGCACTTTCCATGGACCCCTAATGTCGAGTCACGACATAACTCGTAGTGACCGTCAGATAGGGAACGTCTTGGGTACGTACATAACCCTCGTTCCCTGATGGAGGGAACGGAGACGTTATGTCCCCATGCCACAACCTTGAA